AGTCAGGCAAAATGGTGTAAACAGGCCAAAATCCATCTTACAACGCTGCCGCACTAGTGATCTTTTTTTTTTTCTGTCAGTCCGTTCGTTAGCTTCAACATTATCTATCATCCATGACAAAGGCCCAGACGGTGGCACCGTGCCAAGCATCTGGTCCATATATACATACATGCATGGCAAAAGGCCCTGTTGTCTACTGCGACGACCCAGGGAGATCGAATTTTCGTTTTCCCTTGATGCTGCCGTTTTACACAACGCATTACACAAACACAAACAAACAATTCTGTATGGGAACTTTTCACTGTGGCTAAAAAACATCAAGGAAGGCATATATCATGTTCTACCAAAACATGTAGTATAGTGGTCTTGGCCACTCATAGCCATTCACAAGTCACCAGGGTATGGGCTTGAACGGTGCGAACACTGCCACCGAGTTGTGCCCACCAAATCCAAACGAATTGGAGATACCTGCATGCCAGAGGGAGGAACTCATCATCATCACCACTACACCAGTGCCAGACTGCCAGGGAGGGAGCAATTCAGGTCTGTACTTGTATGCATTGACAGTTCGCCACTCACCGACGTGTACCTTGTGCCGCTGTTTTACCCCACTCACCGTGTCAAATTCATAAACTGCCGGCTCAGGATTCTGCAGTCGATAGAGCAAAGCCAATAAATAAATAAATATCACTACGCTTTCGTTACGTACAAACATCACATTTGTATAACAACAAGATAGAAATTCATTCGAAGCTTGATTCAATTTCTCGGGGACCGGTAGTTTCAGAGATGTAAATTTACTGAACTTGTATCTCGTTGCAAACTTACGAATTGGTTTACGGTGGTGTTTATGGCTTTGACGGTAGCAATGGCTTCCAGCCCGCCGGCCGCGCCAAGGCAATGCCCGATCATGGACTACGAGAAGACACCCACACAGATATCAGTTACATCATGCATCATGCACGAACTTCATGCCAGGTTGTTGCAGCAAAAACAGATCATCGTCAATTCGTCATGGCGCAAGTAAATACAAGATCGATCGAGCACCTTGGTAGCATTCATTCTGATCTGGGACGGGTTCTTGAACACCTGCTTCAGTGCCTTCACCTCTGCTAGGTCCCCGGCAAGCGAGGAGGTCGCGTGAGCGTTCACGTAGTTCACCTGCAGTAGCGGATGCATGCATCTCAGATTCTCAGTGGATGGATCACCACGCAGCTTACTAACCCGTTCACGCCAATGCAATGGGCGAAGCATTTTGGTAGGCACCATACCTCCTCCGGCACCACGACGGCGTCTTCCAGGCTCCGCCTGATGCACGCCGCCGCGCCACGGCCGTCGGGCCTCGGGTCCATCAAGTGGTGAGCGTCGCAGCTCGCCGCGCCGCCCAGGTACTCCGCGAGGATCGGGGCGCCGCGCCGCCTCCCGTGCCTTGTCATCAGCTTGCAGCGTGGCACGAGCCGCACGGACCGCACGACAAACAGTAGCGGAGAGCACAGACGCACGCACACGTTCCCTCGAGAGCGCGGCGGCGGCGCGCACGTACCAGTACCTTCGCCCAAGACGAAGCCGTTCCGCCGCGACAGCGCCCACAGGGTCGTGAACCCGCCGAGGCAGACGGGCGCGACGGCGGCCTCCGCGCCGCCCATGACGTCAGAGCGGCCTAGCCGGATCTGGTCCGCGGTGCTGTGAAGGCAGTGGTTGGATGTGGCGCAGGCCGTGGAGATGGAGTAGTTGGGGCCAAGGAAGCCGATCTCGGCGTCGATGGAGACCAGCGCCGACGTCGCGTTGGGCATCGCGAATGGGATGGTGTAGGGGGAGACTCCCCTCGGCCCCTTCCTCACGAAGTCCACCACCCCGGCCGAGAATGTCGTCGCACCGCCGTTGCCGGAGCCCATGACCACGCCGGCGCGTTCCTTGTCGATCCGCGGGCCGCTGCGATGGTTAGAATAGATTGGTGGGGTCGGCAAAGCGGTGAGCGAACCGCGTGCGTGGCGTGTGATCGGCCGACCTTGTACACTGCTCTGTAGCCGAGGGTGAGCCCGGCGGATGCGAGGGCCTTCCTGACGGCGACGAGGGCGTAGCGCTGGCAATCGTCGAGGCGGCGGTTGCTCTCGTCGTCAATGTGGCCCTCGTAGGAGAAACCGTGGATCTAGGCGGCGAAGCGGGTGGAGAACCCGGAGGCGTCGAAGTGGTCGATGGGGCCGGCACCGCCGCTCCCGTCGAGGAGGCGGTCGTAGTACGCGCCCACGTCGCTGCCGAACACCGACACCACGGCCATCCCTGTGATCACCACCCGCTTCTTCGGGTCCGACTCCCGCCGTGGCGCCCGCCACGGGGCAGAGGTTGCGTGCCTGAGGGCACGTCGGAGCAGCAACGCCGCCTCCGCCTCCGCGTGGGAGGCCGCCATTGCTCGCCGCGCCGCGCGCTCCTCCCGCGCCGCTGTGCCACCACGGCCGCTGCGCGCTCCCCCCGCGCCTCCGCACCACCTCAGCGTGGGGCCCGCCCTACGTGACGACGCACGCCGGCAGCGTGAGCGAGGCCTCGCCCGCGCTGGGGGCCTCCTGTGCCGGTGGCCGCTCCGCCGGACCCGCCGCGGCGCGGCGTCACCACGCCCTCTCCCCGCGCATCCGCGCCACCTTCCACGTGGGGCCCGCCCTAGGTGAGGACGCACATCGGCAGCGTGAGCGACGCCTCACCCGCGCTGGGGGCCTCTTGTGCCCGTGGCCGCTGCGCCGTACCCGCCTGCCCGCGGCAGAACTCCTGCGCCGCTGCTGAGAGTGAGGGAGAGTGAAGGAGGGAGTAGAGGAGCAAGCAGCCGCTGCCACCTGCCATTTACACGAGAGAGAAAGAGGAAGAGCACCATTTTACATGAGCGGACCATGGTGGAGCCCAGCTCCGCCGACGCCTCTGTCCGACACGCAAAGTACATTGTCCTTGCATGCATGACCATCTGTTTGGTCTATCCACCGCCGAACGTATGAAGGAAGCCTGACTGTGACGCGCTCTATCTAAGCCGTGGAATCTCTATCTAACGCACCAACTAAATAGAACGTATGTGGACATTCTGGGAGGCCGCGGATTCGGCGTTCCTTTATATCTTAATTCGTTTCGTTATCTTATCTGTCGGTTTATTGGTTGCCTTCTATATTACGTGCGGCATTTTTTTTTGTTTTTCTTGAGTCCATTTTTGGTTTTCGCATGTCGGGTTCATTTTGTTTGTTTTTTCTTCTCCATTCATCCATTTTTTCGGTTTTTCTTGGGTTCGTATTCTTTTTTTTTTTTTTTGCATTTTTAGTGTTTCTCCTTTTTTGACATAGGAATAAATAATAAATGTAATATCATAGGTACTCCAACCCTTCTCTTTTTTCATAAATAAATATTCGCAGAAAAAGTTATTGATGTATTTACAACTTATTTTTTTTGTTAGAAACAGGGTCAGTCGACGATCCAACTAATCAAATCATGAAACTGAAATGCTGAGTATTTTGTTATAAATATATAATATACTCCAAGCTGTTTGCATATAAATTAAATTAAAGTAAGTTGGACCAAGTCCAGCTAATATCTCATGCCGCAATTTGTTTCGGTGTCCATATGTTCATTCTGTCTTCATGTCTCCTCCGTTGGAGTCCTTTTCTGTGGTCGCGTTCCGCACGTGGGATTTTTCGTTCTTCTCGCGTCCGTTTTTCACAGGCGCTGTTCCACCATCCTTTCCAGTACTTTTTTAGTATTTCTCATTTTTTCTTATATAGACTTAAAACCAAATAATAAATGTAATATCATAGTTACTTGAACTCTTGACTCTTTTTATCGTAAATAATTATTCATACCACTAAATTATTGATGTAGTTTTGATTAGGAAGACAACTTATTTTTGTTAGAAACTGGATCAGCCGATGATCCAAGTAATCAAACTGTGAACTGAAATATTGAGCACTTTGTTATACAATATATGATATAAATAAATATACTCCAAGGTGTTCACGTATATCAGAGATATTAGAATTATAGATTTTTATGGGTTTCCAAAGGAAGTCATGGAACTTAATATTTATCTATACCAATAGTATATTAAAATTATGATATATGTACGACTAATATTTCTATGCTTTGAGATGGGAGAAAAAAATATCAAGATTGTATTTAATTTAATCTGATATAGACTTAATAGTGCATTGTCATATTATTGCCATGATTGACTTAAATTATGAATGTCGTAGTCTTAATAAAATAAATCAGAGGTCATACATTTCATATCATAGAAAGAAAAAATACAAATAGGCATATAACATTTTCCAAACTCGTTTTCCATGAATGTATTTGATAGTTTATTTTTATCCCATTGCAACGCACGAGCATATTTGTTAGTATATATATAAGAGATTTCTAGCGAAAATGCAAGACTTCATCTTCTTTTTTTTTGTGACATAAAAGAACAAGTACCAGTATCTATTTGATAATACATGATAAGTTTGAGAACTACTAGTGAAATTTACTCTTTGGTATAATTTGATGAGCTATACATACAGCTTGAATGTTTGATAACTCACTTATCATCTTCACCCTTTTTTAGGATCACTTATCTCCACATCTTTTTTTTATTCATTGATTTCCACATCCTCATCTAGAAAACTACAATTCTTATATGGCAACGTATCAAGTGTAAACCAACCTCTTCGTGCAAACCGTGCAAACCAACTGCGGGGGAGAGGTGGGAAGAGGATTTTGCAAAAGTGTGATTAGGAGCGGGCGTAATTACACTTTTGCAAATCCCCCCTCTCACCTCTCCCCTGCAGTTGGTTTGTACGGTTTGCACGGAGAGGTTGGTTTGCACTAGATATGTTCCCTTCTTATATCTGTCACCTGTGAAAAAAGCCCGTTCAGGAATTAACACCCAGTTGTTTTGGAGTGCCGTTATGGGCCGGCCCACGAAGAAATTTGGTCCATCGATATGACGAGGCCTACCTAACCCTCCTGTCGGGCAATCTTCTTCCTGCCCAATGCCGCCGCCGTTTCCGCCGTCTCCCCCTCCTCCGCGTCTCCTCGCCGGCGGCGACCACCACCCGCCCCCGACCTCCGCTTTCTCCCCGGAACACCCCTTCCACTCCGCGCATCTCGTCCTCCCCTCCCCGTCTCCGTCCCCCGCCGATCTCTCCTCGCCGCACCTACCTCTCGCCCTCGCCTTCGCCTTCCTCACCGAGCCTTCCCCGCTCCCGCGGCGTCTCCTTGTCGTCCTCCACGCCGCCGGCGCCCGCTTCCCGGCCTTCTACCATGCCTTCGCGTCCGCTCTCCTCTCCCTCCCATTCCCCCTCCTCCTCCCCCACCCGCGCACCCGCCTCCTCCTCGCCGCCTCCGAGCTCGCCCGCGCGGCAGCGCCGGGGTTCGCGCCCCTCCTCGCCTCCCTCCTCCGCCGCGTGCCGTTCCCCGGGGACGCCCGCCTGCTCGAGGTCTTGCACGAGCACGCCTCGTTTCTCGCCGACGAAGAGCCCCAGCTCCTCGCCACCGCCGTGTTCGCCTTCCTCCGACTCCTCTCCAGGAATCGCCTCGCTCTGGCTGCAGGCAGCGTCGAGTGCAAGGACTGCGACGAGTGCAAGGGTGCCAAAAATCTGCAAGAATGCAGGGGAAGGCTGGTGTCTTTCTGCGTCTCCGTGCTGCGGGATCACTTCCAAGTGTGCGCACTCCTCGGAAGGGACCTTGTGAGGTCGCTCCACGAGCTGGCGCTCGTGCCGGAGTTCCAGGTGCTGTGGCGAGACTTGATACTTGACCGAGCTGCCAATGTCTGTCGGATTGGAACACCCCGTTGGTGCACGGCCATGGCCATCACGTCAGAGATGGAGACGCAGCTGTTGTTCATGATGAACAATGTGAAGTGGGGGGATCAGAAGAGGTACCAGCTGTGGTTTGCAAGGAAGCACCTGATGGTGCCTGGAGGGGAGGAGAGGATCCCTGACATTGTGCGGTTCATATGCTGCGGGTACCACCCGACCAATGAGCTCATGCAATCTGGTGTCATTGCTCGCTGGGCGGTCGTAGGTTGGCTGCTGACGACTTGCAGCAAGGGTTATGTTGTGGCGAATGCGAAGCTGGCGCTGTTCTATGACTGGTTGTTCTTCGAGGAGGGGAGGGGTAGTGTTATGAATATTGAACCTGCTATGCTCCTGATGGTGAACTCAGTGTCTCAGTACACTGATATCACGAACATGCTACTTGAGTTCTTGTTTCTTCTGATTGATAACTATGATGTGCAGAGGAAAGAGGCAATTGCACTCTGTGTGAGGAGTGCGTTTGGGGTTCTGGTGAAGAAAGGAGTGGTGCCGTCATTGGAGCCATTGACAGGTTGTGACAAGTTATCACCGTTGCTCAGGCAAAAGCTTCTGGCATTTTTATCTAATACTTGTGAGGCGGCTGAAGAAGCTTGTTGGAAGCCAATCAATGAGGTTTCTAAAGGAGCAGAATTGAACAAGAGAATTTGCTGAAGCATGCAGGTAATTTATGTTAGTCACAACCATCTCTATGAGGAATGAATTCAGCTCCTATTCATCAGGATTTCCTCGTTTTAGAAACTTTCATAAACCTGCAAAGAAAAAACAGAAGGTGCTTTAGGTTTTGTATAATGACAAGAGAGAGGTGAAGAAAAATTTTGGAAGCGGCAAACATAAGGAATGTGAAATATGGGTTAATCTTTGGCTTGCCCTGTTACCTGCGAGCCAGTTTCTGATTGACATTTACAGGCAAGCGTAAGGAATGTGAAATATGGGTTAATCTTTGACTTGCCTGGTTACCTGCATGCCAGTTTCTGATTGATATTTACAGAGACATCCTACAAAGATTGCGCTACTCGTTCAGATGCCAACCTCTTTGGTTATATATGCCATAGTACTTGGCATGAATTTACTGCCTGGTTAACCTGTGAAGCAGTTGAATTTGCTCAAGCTACGGTGCCTTCAGTTGATGCTGAAGATAGTTTGTGAAGGGATTATTTCACTGGTTGTATGTTCATCTAAAGGGATGGTTACATTTATCTCAAGGATGAAATTTGTGCTTATTGTGACTCGATTTCCCATCAGTTCCAAATATTGATAATTGGTGTACAGCAGAAAAATAGGTCTTTGTGCAAATTTTTCATCATCCATAATTGGAAGCTGTGATGACTGATGAGCTTTTCGATGCTTCAAGTTGAAGTTACACAAAGCGAGGTGTTCAGATCCAATGTTTGGGTGTGTTAAAAAATGGTATGCATAGCATCTTGGTGAAACTGATTTTTGTTTTGTTTTGTTTTGTATTATACTATTATTTCTTTTCATTGAAAAAGTTCTATACACATCAGCCCTGAAAGTGATATTTCTCCGAAGTCTGGAGTTGTAGCGGTCCATCCAATTTTTTATGTAATTCTGAAATCCCTGTCAGACCAAAATTATGTGCTTGTAAACATTTTGTAGCTATTCAGTTTTTTGTTATTCAATAATGAAATCACTTTCATGGTACTTTGTTTCTTACGTTGTCATGGAGCTCATTGTTATTCAATAGCGAAATCACTTTCATGGCACTTTGGCACTTTGTTTCTTTCGTTGTCATGGAGATCATTGTTATTCAATAGTGAAATCACTTTCATGGTTTGTCGTCATAGAGATCAATAATAGGTGCCATATGTGGCCAATTTGCTTGCTGGTATCAAATAAACTTCTTTGCAAGTGTTATAATTTCCTTCTCTCCCATTTACTGAACGCAGCTACTTTTACTGTGCAATGTATCATATTTGTATATTCTCTCTCTATTATCTCCTAGCTGGTTTATAAATTTTTACGGTATGGCGATAGACAATGTCAGTTCTCTTTTGTAAGTTCATGAGAAAAGAAAATTCCCTAGAAAATCATCACAAACGATCTTCCAGAATGCTATACTGCTGTACATGGAATATACTCATGTTGGCATCTTGGTTGGGAGGTTTCAAAATTAGTGGTTGTTGTCCCTTGTGCAGCTAGGCCCAAGAAGCAGCATCATTAATTCTGCCTTTGGGAGCTAGGACCAGAAGTGTGTCACGGAAGGAACCCTGCAGCATCCAGCAAACAACTCAGAGCTGGAGTTTGTTACCACCAAAATACTGACTGGAAAAATATAATGTATTTCATGGAATAACTGACAACTGGGCAATTTTGACGGATGCAATCTGTCAGGACATCTCTGCCGTTGGTAGATACGAATGGGCAACAGTTGGTGGTGAAATCCATCCACAGAAACCCAGATTTCCTCATCAGGCAGGATCCATCTTAAGGTCAAGAATGCACATCCGATATTTTTCACATCCGATATTTTTGGACGATGTTGTCATCGCGCAAAGAGGAAAATGTTTCTTTTGCAAGTTTTACATGGTATACACAGAAAAAGAGAAAGGAAAATATATATTTGCCAGAGACAGGACAAAAGAGAGGGTGGCAAGAGGATTGGCTGATTGCAGCAACCAAAGCACAGCCATTCATTTCCAGAAGGCCAGTCTCCACCACACAGCTCATATCCCTTGCCCTCGTGTGCCCCCAGCAGGTGTACGACCTTATATGCCAGCTGCTGCACCACTTCTCAAGTCTCAACCCCCTAAGGAAAGACTGTGTCATCAAAGAGAGGGTAGCACCTGATCTCCTCGATCACCTTCAGAACCAGAGCAATGGCATCTGCTACTCTCCTCAAGTCGTCTTTCCTTCCCAAGAAGGCTGAATGGGGTGCCACGCGCCAGGCTGCTGCTACCAAGCCGATGACTATCTCCATGGTTGTCCGTGCTAGTGCCTATGCTAATGAGCTTGTCAAAACTGCGGTATTGTTTCTGAACACCAGCAGTAAAATTATGTGCTTATTACCATGCTAGTTTTATGTTATTAACTTGCAGAAGCTTGTTAGTATCAATAGAAAAATGACATATGGCCCTGTTTGAAACAACTTATTTCAACCATGAAAACTTCAGTTTTGTTTATCATGATTTAACTAATGCAAGTTTGAGGATTCATTAGGAAAGATAACCCATTTGACAGTTTTGATCCCATATTATTACTCATTTATGCACACACGCTAGTCTAAATCAGCATTCTCTCCTTGCATTGGTTTAGGAACTTGCAATGTTCACGGAGATGAATTTGTGAACTGGACATCTAGGAGTATGTATATTGGGCTGGCACATGTCAACACCAGTATAGGCCAAGAAGCAGTATAGCTACTCATAATTTTGATGACTACATGCTAGTTCAGTTACATTTTAGATTACTTTGAAAGGTCCTGCTTAAGTTCTGTGATCCATCTGAAAGGTTCATAATATATATGACTTGCTATGGTCTCAAACTTCTGAAAGAACATTTCATCAACCTGGAAAAAGTAACTGTTCTTTTCTATTGAAAAAGGAAAGCTCATTTCAGTTATGGTTCAGAATATTACAAGTTTATTCTTCTTGCTTCAGAAAACCATCGCATCACCAGGAAGGGGTATACTTGCCATGGATGAGTCAAACGCTACCTGCGGCAAGAGGCTTGACTCCATTGGCCTTGAGAACACTGAGGCCAACCGCCAGGCTTACAGGACCCTCCTTGTCAGTGCCCCAGACCTGGGACAGTACATCTCTGGTGCTATCCTGTTTGAGGAGACCCTGTACCAGTCAACTGTTGATGGCAAGAAGATTGTTGATGTCCTTAATGAGCAGGGAATCGTGCCTGGTATCAAGGTCGACAAGGTATGTTGTAGACTCCAAACCGACACGTGACATGCGTTGTAGGTTCTTAGAAACTAGATTTGATGAAGTTGTGACAGTCTCTTTCAAGATCGAAAGCAACAGCAAACCTCTGAAGCTATGCTCAATCTCAGGGTCTTGTGCCACTTGCTGGCTCCAACAACGAGTCGTGGTGCCAAGGTCTTGATGGCCTTGCTTCACGTGAAGCAGCCTACTACCAGGCCGGTGCCCGCTTCGCCAAGTGGTGAGAAACGTGGCCCCTGCTGCATTGGCAGTTACTTTCTGTCGTTATGTACGTGGTGACATATATATATATATATATATATATATATAGATCCCATGTGTGAGTGTGACGTGAAGTTCTGTCACAGGCGCACTGTTGTCAGCATCCCCAACGGTCCATCTGAACTTGCCGTGAAGGAAGCTGCCTGGGGCCTTGCCCGCTATGCCGCCATTTCACAGGTATATATCCTAGAAAAAGGACCATCGTATTGGTTTCTTTTCAATATGCATGTACTCCTATATATAAAAACACCCTTATATATCTGTCAAAATGAAATGCTAGGAAAATGGTCTGGTGCCAATTGTGGAGCCCGAAATCCTTCTTGATGGTGAGCATGGCATCGAGAGGACCTTCGAGGTCGCACAGAAGGTGTGGGCAGAGACCTTCTATTACATGTCTGAGAACAATGTGATGTTTGAGGGCATCCTGCTCAAGCCCAGCATGGTCACCCCTGGTGCTGAGTGCGAGGAGAAGGCCACCCCTGAGCAAGTAGCCGAGTACACCCTCAAGCTCCTTCACAGAAGGATCCCTCCTGCCGTTCCTGGCATCATGGTCAGCGCTCTCTTCTTGCTAACAGGTTTCTCTCCGGTTGCGCATGCCATGGTCTTCTGTGTTCTCAACTGCTATTATTTTGTGCAATATAATGCAGTTCCTGTCTGGTGGGCAGTCTGAGGTTGAGGCGACCCAGAACCTGAACGCCATGAACCAGAGCCCCAACCCGTGGCATGTGTCCTTCTCCTACGCTAGGGCACTGCAGAACACCTGCCTCAAGACATGGGGCGGCAGGCCCGAGAACGTGAAGGCAGCACAGGACGCGCTGCTGCTGCGTGCCAAGGCCAACTCCCTGGCGCAGCTCGGCAAGTACACCAGCGATGGTGAGGCCGCTGCGGCCAAAGAGGGCATGTTTGTCAAGAACTACAGCTACTAAGGCGACGATACCACTGCTGCTAGTACGTTCCTCGAGGGCACTGTAGCCAGTCTGCAATGGCAGGTTCAGCTGGAAAAATACACTGCAATTTTACTACTACCCTGGGGCTGTTTGGATCCTTTTCATTTGGAGGAATTGGAATCTACTTAATGGGCTAAGTTAGTTGGTGTAGAATTTGACATTCCACAACATTCTAGAAGCCTATCTCAAATTCATAGGGTGGAAGATAAAATTGATTCTATAGATCGCCGTGCTATATTTCTACTCTGTAACTTATATCACGCTCTTCAGTTCACTCCTCTACAGTAGAAATGCAGCACATAATATCTCCCTCGTATGACCAACGGTAGTATACAACAGGGAAATCATTTCTTTCGCTGTCATGGAGATCAATAGGTGCCATGTGTAGCGAATTTGCTCTTGTAAACATTTTGTCACTATTCAGTTTTTGTTATTCAGTAGTGAAATCACTTTCATGGCACTTTGTTTCTTTCGTAGCTTTTGTTATTCAATAGCGAAATCAGTTTCATGGCACTTTGTTTCTTTCGCTGTCATGGAG